AGTTAAGCGTCTGACTCTTGGTTTTGGATCAGGTCATGATCTCATAGTTCATGGATTCGAGCCTGACATGGGGCTCCTCGCTGTTGGCGTGGAGCCTGCCTTGGATTTTCTCTCATTCCCTCTCTCTCTGCCCCTCCCCTGCTCACTCTCTCTCAAAATATATAAATAAGCTTTAAAAAATTAAAAAATAAATGAACAAATAAATACACATACACACACACACACACAGAGGCACGCATGCCCACGTCTGTGGTAATCTGGAAGAAAATATACCAAAATGTTAACAACAATTTCTCCATAATGGGATTATGATGATTTTTGTACTTCTCTTTTCAAGTTTTGCCCTCAAAAAGCATATATTACTTTTATTATCAGAAAAAAACAATATAAATTATTAAAAAAAAAAAAACTCTTCAAGGAGCACCTGGGTGGCTCAGTCGGTTGAACGTCCAACTTCAGTGCAGGTCATGATCTCGCAGTTCATGACTTCGAGCCCCACATTGGGCTTACTGCTGTCAGCCTGTTATGGCAAAGCCTGCTTCGTATACTCTTTCCTCTCCGCTCTCTGCCCCTCCCCCACTTATTCTATCTCTCAAAAAATAAAAACAAAACTTTTCAATGTTTCCCCATCACCTACAAAGTACAAACTTCTTTTTTTTTTTTTTCAACGTTTATTTATTTTTGGGACAGAGAGAGAGCATGAACAGGGGAGGGGCAGAGAGAGAGGGAGACACAGAATTGGAAGCAGGCTCCAGGCTCTGAGCCATCAGCCCAGAGCCTGACGCGGGGCTCGAACTCCCGGACCTCGAGATCGTGACCTGGCTGAAGTCGGACGCTCAACTGACTGCGCCACCCAGGCGCCCCTACAAAGTACAAACTTCTAAGCACAGCACGGGCCCTTAATTTGGCCTATGCCTATCTCTCTTGCCTAATTTCCTATGACTTAGCTTCCCTACTTTTCTTCAACTATGCCAAATTACCTAAAACATAGGTCATTCTGCCTCTGATCCGTTGCAAATCGGTCTGACTTCAACCTCTTGGTTAAGACCCAATTCAAAAGTGTTCTTTCCTGTGAAACCATTCCTGATCCACTCATGCAGAGCCCTGCTACCTTTGAGTTACCACTAATATGAGCTACCTCTAATATGCTGCTATTATTTGCCTAGAGTATTGCAATTATTTGTTTACATCAACATTTCTCTGTTTATGTTGTGATTGTCTTGAGATACACAAATGTACAATTTTTCTTTTACTTTGCTACCAAATATTTTCCAATATAAACAGCTGTTGTGATTTTTAACAAAGCATACATTCATTGAAGTGTTACTGAATTCATAGCTTTTTTTATAATTTGTATTTTTCACTCAAGAGACACTAAAAACCATCATTTGGGTGTCTGTAAAATATTTGATATTAAAAATTCCTCATAGATCTTTATACACTTATATGCAAAGAAAGCTAAATTATTTTTTAAAGTGAGAAAGTCATGGCTCAGAAAAGTATGTATAGTTTAGCTTAATCCTATGTATATAAAAAAGTATGAACATTTGTTGACCAAGTCAGTACAAATATAGAAAATAGAAACATAGGGGCGCCTGGGGTATCTCAGTGGGTTGAGTGTCCGACTCTTGATTTCGGTTTCGGCTTAGGTCATGATACCAAGGGCATGGTATTGAGTTCCTTGTTGGGCTCCGCCTGCTTAAGATTCTCTCTCTCTCTCTCTCTCTCTCTCCCTCCCTCTGCCCCTCTCCCTTGCCTGCATGTGCACATACTCTCTCTCTCAAAAGAAAGCATTTACATTTTAGCTAATTAAAATTAAATACAATTAACAATTCAGTACCTGGGTGCCTGGATGACTCAGTTGGTTAAGCATCTGACTTCCGTTCCGGTCATGATCTCACGGTTCAAGGGTTCAAGCCCCACATTGGGCTCCTTGCAGGCAGTGCAGAGCCTGCTTGGGATTCTCTCCCTCCCTCTCTCTCTCTATGCCCCTCCCCTACTCATGCTTTTTTTTCTCTCTTCCTCTCAAAACAAATAAAAATAAACTTAAAAAATAAAATCTTAAGGGGTGCCTGGGTGTCTCAGTCAGTTAAGTGTTCCACTTCAGCTCAGGTAATGATCTCACGGTTTGTGAGTTAAGTGCTCCACGTGTTGGGTTCTGTGCTGACAGCACAGAGCCTGTAGCCTTCTGCAGATTCTCTCTCTCTCTGCCCTCCCCCGCTCACACTCTCTCTCTCTCAAAAATAAACATTAAAAAAATAATAAGAGAATCTTTCTTTAAAAAAATAAAATATTTTAAAAGACACAATTCAGTTCCTCAGTCACACAAATCATATCTCAAGCCCTCAGTGGCCACATTATGTATAGCCAGTAGTTACTGCATTGAACAGAGCAAATAACCTTTCTATACTTGCATTAGTTCCCATTGGACAGTGCAGATCTAGATCACTGACCCCACATAAGGTGACGCCAGTTTGGGCACCCTGAAACCCTGAGTGTGAAATAGTTAACTAGTGAGAACTACAAACACCGATCAGTTGAGCCTTATGCTCTTGATTAACTTGAATCCTGAAAAATGAAAAGTGCCTACCTGATTGGCATCCTAGAGAATAGAGAATCAGTCTATACCTGTACATGGATACAATGTATCCATGGCAATGAACACACCTGTTGAATCTCTGTAAATTGCAAGGACAATAGTGGTGTTTGGATTGCTGGGTTGCCTGGTTACCATGGAAATAGGTGCTGGTTACAATTATGTGCAATCACAGAGACTAAAGTATCAACCCGC